CACACACACACACACACACACACACACACACACACACACACACCATGTAATGGAAAAAAAACAACAGCTAAAATTTAAAACTTCTTCCTGGTGACTTATGCTCACAGTCGGTCTTCTATGCAGACACGCACAGGAAATGAAAATTCTCTTTCCAATTTCGTCTCAGACCTTCTCAGTTCCTTACCTGGATTGTATGTTTTCTTGTCCTCTCAAGCCTTCACATTCAGCACAGGAGCATCTCAGCGGGATCTCCCATGTTATCACTTCCTTTCCTACTTCAGGGATGAAATTTAAAGTTTGTGTTCTAATGCCATTACCAAAGTCAATGTCAACTTTATAGACCATTTAACTTTAAAGGGTTAGTGCATATGTTGTGGCCTGTGGTTAGTCCTTCCTGCCGAAAGGAAGCAGCCTTTTGTCTAAGATTTTAATTCAGCACCATTAGAAAAATAGAATCAGAGCCACCACGAGATGATGCAGAGAGAGACTCTGACTTTCCCTCCATCCCGTCACTGTGTTATGTACATAATGAGCTCACAGTTCCTCTGCTTATTCTTGGAATATTTGGGTTATAAGGCACGTTTAATTTCTACATTTGAAATATGGGCCAAAGGGCTGGCATGTAGCTGCGTTGCTAGAGTGCTCGTCTGAGGCACACACAGACTTGAGTTATCTTGAGTATTACATAAAGATGGCTGTGCCGGCACACCCGTAATCCCAGCACTTGGGAAGAGAAGAGAGGAGAACCAGAAGTTCAAGACCATCCTTGCCTGTCTGCGTAGCAAATTTGTAGCCAGTCTGGGCTACATGAGACTATATTAAAAATAATAGGAATAAGTAAAACCAGTATCAATAGAGGATTTTCACTTGGACTTTGTTGTTAAGGTAATCAGGCCCCAATAGTTCTCCAGTCATGAGGCATCAGGGTGAAAACACACACACCCACACACACCCCAGCGGGCATGGCTCAGAGGGGCTTCCCTGTCTTTTTTTTTTTTTTTCTGGTTCTCTTGAGAAAGGGTCTTGCTGTGTAGTCCAGACACTTGTGAGCCTCTTGCCTTAGCCTCCTGGGTACTGGCTAACAGCCGTGCACTGCCTTGCCTGGCCATACCTGGTTTCTTACATTACAGTTTGAAGAAGCATAAAGGAAGGATTCTAAACCAAAGCCTGCTCTGTGCTTATAAGGAAAACACGCCCTTTAAAAGCAGAAGCAGCCTTCTCTAGCACTTGTCACCAAGTGAGGCTTGTCTGCTGGGCAGAAGAAAAATCTGGAGGCATTTGTAGCTGCATCTACTAATTTAAAAAAGAATGGCTCCCACCACCCCCACCACAGGAGAGTTCATCCTATCTGACAATGGGTGTGTTTTTAAGCAAAACTGGAGACAAATTGGGTGTACAGGAGGACCCTTGTGACCCATGCTCCCTCTTCTGAGATGCTGCCCCTACCTGGTACTGATCACTAACTCTTGACACCCCAAAGCCACTCCGCATCTTTAGTTGTTAGAAGGTGATTTCTGAGGCCTGGCAGCTGTTGGTGTTACCACTATTGTGAGGGAAACAAAAGCCATTCTGCTCATCCCGCCTGCCTTTGTATCCGCGATACTGGAGCCATTTCATGAATGATGTCTAATTCTTTAGCAGGGAATTTCATTACTGCCCATGGTGCAGTGATAGTTTACACTTCCCACGGTGGAAGAGAATATCTGAGCCTACCTGCTAATGGGAGGAAGCTTGGCTTTTGACCTCCATTAAGATGCTTGCATTTTAAGTCTGTTAATTAGGCCCGCCATGAGCTGCCATCATGACAGCCTCCGTATTTCCTACCTTTTCTACTCTGAAGCACTGAAGCCGAGACCGGCCAAGTGGACCTGTCGTCTGCTCGTCTCGGAAATTAAGCTGAGTACAGGAGGCCAGGGCATATGGAACCCTGGAACACCTACACAAGCCAGCGTGAACTTGGTATCTTGCATAACCGATATTTATTTGAAGAACTGTATTCTCTATTATTTTCATGTAGAAAATATATCAGTCTAGGAAGCTTTTATTTGCATAGACAAGAAACGAATTGGTCTAAATGGTTGAGGAAATGCAGCAAGCACTGTCCTTCCCACCCTTCATCCCTTCGTAGACCATGCCCTGGCTGTATGACTTAGGGTTCTTCCATTCGAGGTGAGTGACCTGCTGGAGTTCTGGACTCCAGCATATGATTTGTTTTAGCTGGAAATAGGAAGCAGCTCTGATTTTTGTCTGCCTTTCTCACAGGTCTACCATTGCTACTATAAGAATAAGCCCCGTTGCCTCTCATCAGAAGGGGTATGGGGTGGAGAATAAGGTAACCATTTGGGGTTCGCATCTGCAACTTGTGAAGTTATACAACTCTGGGCTTCATTCTGATTAGGCCAAGCTAGAGTACATGTTTAATGTGCTAGGCTAATCATTGAGTAAGGAGGAGTTTGGATTATGTAACTTCTCAGTGAGAGGGATATGTCTAACTATCCAAATATCTATCATCTATCCATCTATCCATCCATCATCCATCCATCTATCTATCTATCTATCTATCTATCTATCTATCTATCTATCTATCTATCTATCTGTTGTAAGAGGCTGCTTGTTCGTTTCCCAGCTGCCCAGACTCCAGAAACTATATTATTTGCAATACTGTTGGCCAATAGCTTAAGCATATTTCTGGCTACCTCATATCTTAAATTAACCCATCTCCATTAATCTGTGTATCTCCATGAGGCTATGGCTCACAGAGTAAAGTTCCAGCATCTGTCTCCTGCAGGGCTACATGGCTTCCCCATGGCCCTGCCTTCTTTCTTCTAGCATTCAGTTTAGTTTTCCCCACTTAGCTCTACTCTACCCTATCATTAACCAATAAAAGCAATACATAGACAGAAGGACTTCTTACATCTATCTATCTGTCTGTCTGTCTGTCTGTCTGTCTGTCTGTCTATCTATCTATCTGGAGTGGGCAGACAGACAAGGCTGGTCAGGAATCTACATGATGGAGACAGCTGCAGCTGAATCACACCTACATCCTCTCACTTATAGCTAAGCCAGAGTTTTGTGAGTAAGAATAAGTGACTGGTGCTAGTGTATTTTGGAATGACTCATTAGGAAGCTCTGGGGTGGTGGTGTGTGACTGATACTCATTGCTTATGTCACCGAAGAATTCAAAGGTAGCATGGGCTTCAGGAAGTGGTTGAGAATGATTTCTCTGTGATTCTGTTGGAGTCCCAACCCCAGATGCTGTTCTTTATGATGACTTTGCCATTTCAGGCTTCCCATCTGCATCTTGGGCTGTGTAAGAAGTAGGGAAGCTTTGACTTCACTCTGAATGGGCCAACTCAGGTCACGTGTTTATGCTGAGCCAATTGAATAGCAGGGGTTTAAGGTTTTCTAATTTGTCCATTAGACCCCTTCGTGAGATGGAAGTGGATCTAGTCTGTTCCAGAACCCCATGGTGTCAATTTAAAGGTGGGCATAGGGAACAAAACATGCTAAGAGACATTAGCAATGTTAATTATGGAGAATTTAGGTGCTTCCAGCTTTGTTTAAAATCCCTTTAGATAATTTTTCTGCCTCCACATTGCTAGGTTGACTAGGACTCCACAGTGGGGTTATCTCCATCTTGGCTGTTACTTGGTGAATGGCAAAGCCTCTGGCCATGACACCCAAAGCACTGAAGGGTGACTAGAATCACACTTTAAAGTAGACCTCTCCCATCAGCTTTCTGGACTTCCAACTCCTAAGAGCTTGGGATTTTGAGAAAATGAAATGTGGATTTTATCTGCTAGGATGTGAGCTTCTGATCCAGAGAATGAGTTTCAGCTGATTTAATGTTAATATAATCATTCCACTGACTCTGGCCTCCATTGTTTCTTGTGAGAAGTCAGCGGTAATTATAATTCTCTAGACACATAGTATCAAATGCCACCAAATAAACCAATAAAAGTGTGTGTTGAATTAAAAATAGAATCAGTGACTTTCAGTGTATCATATAATTTTCTTTCAAGAATTATGCCTCCATCTAATAGACACACACTCCCTCTCTGTGAAGCCTTTGTTACTGTTCAGCCTCTTCAGGATAAATTAACTGAGCAACTTATCAGGATCATTTTTTTTTTTGCAAATATGGATTTTAAAGGTACCATGGTTATGTTCTGTGCTTCTTAGAGTCTTCCCTGATTCTGAGGCTCCAGGAAGAGTGAACAGCCCTTAGCATTCAACACATTTTTGTCATTCGGCAAATACCATCAGGGATCTGCTGACTACAAAGTGCTGCCTGCATTAAATGATATGAAAGGCATGGGGATGGACAAGTGGAAATCCTTGGCTTCAAGTAATACAATTTAATTTCACTCAAAAGTTTGGACATAAGAAAAGATGGAACCACAACTCCCAAGAAATAACTTGGCTGTCTTGAAGGATTATTTACTTTGCCATCTCTAATCACGAAGAGCTGTGGGTCTTAATGAAATATTTGCCATATGACAAAAATTAAAATCAAGCATTTTTTTTGTGACAGAGCTTAAATATTAAGCAAATTACTATATTGTTAGATTTAAAAATGTTTATTTATTAATTTTCAATGTGTGTGTGTGTGTGTGTGAGAGAGAGAGAGAGAGAGAGAGAGAGAGAGAGAGAGAGAGTTAGTTTATGTAGATTGCAGATTTCCATGGAGACCATAAGGCATCTGACTCCCTGGATCTGGATCTAGAGGTTGTGACTCACCAGGTTGGGGGTTCTGAGAACTGAACCTCAGTCCTCTGGAAGAGCAGCAAGTGCTATGTGCCTCTGAGCCATTCCCCCAGAACCACATTCCTTTCTTGAAAACACCTATGTATCCACTTTCCTGTGGCCATTGCACGACCATTTTTGAGTTTGATTTCCTGCACAGGGTTAGTTTAGTAATGTCTTGTAATTGTTCATCTGGGGCACTGATTCAGGTACATTTTCCTCAAGTTTTTTTTTTTCTCTTTGTTTTCTTGCAGCCGAGTTATGCCTTAAACCACACAAACAGGAAATTAACATTAGAACCGAAAGTCACGGTCAACGCCAGAATCGTTGTGGTTGGCGCATCCAGTGTTGGAATTTCGTTTCTTGAGACACTGGTGTTTTGGTGAGTTCTTTCATTCTGTTTAGTCATTTATCTGTTTATTTTTGAAAATTAATAATTTTTTCTTGTAACTTTTACTTAGTCACTTTTTGTTTTATGTGCATGTGTGTGCCCGTGTGAGTTTCTGTGCACCTCATGCATGCAGATTCCCGTGGAGACCAGCAGGCATCTGACTCCCTGGATCTGGTTGTGACTCAGCAGGTGTAGGTGCTGAGTCCTGAACCTCAGTCCTTGTAATTGTTCAAACATGAGGGACTCTCTCCCCACTTGAGAAAACACACTTTGGGTTTGTTTGCCAACCCATAGCAGAGCTGTGTGGATTCATGAGTCAGTGGAACATTCTAGATGTGGGATGGAGGAGGACAAATGATTTGTCCATAGAGCTCATGGGATGACAGCTATATTGGCTTTTGTGTGTTACCTGTGACTATTTTTGTGCCTCAGTTACAAAGCTGAGCATCTTAGCCAAGATTGTGAGGCCTAGAATGTATAAAATCAGTACCATATGAGCCCTTCCCAAAAGCCTCTGCTGGTCCTGTTCCACATGTGTTTACCTTACCAACACAATCGTAAGAATCACATCAAGTCTTTGATAAGAATTTAGATTCCTAAATCCCACACCAGGCAGGCAGAATCAGAAGCTCCAAAGTGAGTTGGGGCATGAGTCCGAGATTCTACAATGTAACTGGTATACTGTATATACTCATAATTTATCTAGTCTTGGCTAGATCATGCTGGCCTCGAACTCACATAGATCTGCCCGCCTCTGTCTCTCAAGTACTGGTACTAAAGGTGTGCACCACCATCTCTAACAACTTTTTATTACATTTATTTATTTATGTATAAAAGTTAGAGCATACCAAGATACATGTGTGTAGCAGGCTTTCTTTGGGGCCACGAACCAACTCCCAAATCATGACATGGAGACTTAATATTAGTTATGAATACTCAGCCTTATCTTATGCTTGTCCCACTAGCTTTTATAACTTAAATTAGCCCGTTTCTCTTCATGTGCATTTTGCCTTGGGGCTTTTTACCTTTCTTTCCTTCTGTGCGTCCTATTCCATGTCTGGCTGGCTGGCAGCTGCCCAGCTGGCTGGCCCCGGGCATCTCCCTTCTTTCTCCCTCATTCTCTTCTCATTCTCTCCTGTCTCCAGCCTAGATTCCTCCACCCACTTTATTCTCTCTTCCCGCCAGACCTGTCTGTCTGTCTGTCTATCCTTGCCTCGCTGTTGACTGTTCAGCTTTTTATTAGATTAATCAGGTACCCAGGCAGGCAAAGCAACACTGCTAAATGAATGCAGCATAAACACATGCAACACAGCTTTACAGAGCTAAGTAATGTTTCACAACATCCACAGCATCTGTGTGGAGGTCAGAGGAAAACTTTGTGGAATTGGTTCTCTCCTTCTACCATGTAGGTCCCAGGTATCTAACTCAGATCGTCTACCTTGGGCAGCAAGGACCCCAGCCCTGGGAGCTAGTTTTGGCTATGCATCAAAGACAGGCATCTAGAAATGGCATAGCATCAGAACTTCTCTTCCAGCCCCATGCCAGACATTAAGTCATAACCCTTGGGGAAAGGCAGGTTAATGTGGCTTCCCATGCTGTCCTCTCCACTGCTGCCTATTAGAGCCCACTTCCAGATGGGCAGTTGCTAAGGACTCCTGGTTTCGCCAGTCTTTCCTGCTCTACCTGCTCACTGACTCTCCAAACAGAGGAACCCTAGGTTGGAATCTAAGAACTTGGACTTCTGTCCTGGCACCGTCGGTCCTGACTTGGGAGCTCCATGATTTCTGACTTCCCTTAGATTGGATTTCTCATCTACTCTTTTAAAAACAAAATAAAACAACAGCAGCAAAACTCTCTCCTTTGTTTTTCCATTTTAAATTGGCATATAGTGTGTGTACATTTCGTAGATATGGGTGATATTTCAAAACACTGTATAAAATGTAACTAGCACATCTCCCATCTGTCACTTCTTTTGTGTTTGGATCAAAGTCCTTTCTACCAGCTAATTTGAAATACCCAATTAATGGTTACAACTATAGTTATTTAAGTTCTGTGCTCTAGAACATTTGAAACTGTATCTCCTACCAACAGCGCAGCTGTGCCTACTAACTCTCTCTCCTTCATTTACTCTTAGAAAGGTATCCAGGGTTTTGTTTGCTTATTTGTTTGGTTAGTTTTTGTTGTTGTTGTTGTTGTTTGTTCTATTTTTCTTTGATTGAAAATAGAACTTTTTTATACAATTTATTCTGATTACAGCCCCTCCCCCAACTTCTCTGAGATCCTCTCTTGCTCCCCTCCCATCCAAATCAAATCCTTTTTGTCTCTCATTAGACAACAACCAGGCATTTAAACAACAATAATACAATAAAACAAAAGCAAAACTTAATAGCACAAAACAAACAAGGAAAAAAGCCAAATAAAAAGCACAAAGAATACATATAGATACACATACACACACACACACACACACACACACACACACACACACACACACACTCAGAGATTTGTCATACAGGAAACCCATAAAAACACAAAACTAGAAGCCATAATAAATGCTCCAAGGACCTGTGCATCAGTTCTGCGGTCCATGTCCACACCTTGTCTATGTCCATTTTTGTCATGTCTTCCTATCTGTCTTCTTGCTCTGTAGGCCAGCTCTGTCACATGGAATGAATTAACACCTCTTTCCCAGGTGACCTCCAAAATTACAAAGAAGGAGCAGAGCGACGTTAGCATATCCTGACCACTTGCTTTGGATGGCGTTAGTTTGTCTCACTATCAAAGGGCTAGGCGACCACCTTCTGTGTGGGAGGTGAAATTGTACCTTGCCAAGTCCGGACAGAGGTTCTATCTGTGGTGATTTGAATAGGGTCATATCTTTGAATGCTTCGTCCTTAGCGAGTGATGCTGTTTGAGAGGGATTAGGAGGTATGACCTTGCGTTAGAGGAAGTGTGTCACTGAGGTGGGCTTTGGGGTTTCAAAAGCCCAAGCCAGTCCCAGAGTCTCTCTCTTCCTGCGGCCTGCAGACCCAGATGTAGAACTCCAGCTACCGTGTCTGCCCAGAGGTTGCCATGTTCCCCATCACGATAAAAGACTAAACCTCTGAAACTCTATCAAGCCCCAAGTAAATGCATTATTTTATAAGAGTTGTCATGGCCATGGTGTCTCTTCACAGCAATAGAATCCCATTTTGCCCCGAGTCATACAACATGGCAAAGTGGGATTTATTCTTACTGGCTGACACAAATACTAGAGAAGTCATTGTCATTATTTTATTTGTTTGTTTTTAGACAAAATCTTATTACTAAGCAAACCAAGCTGGCCTTCCTGCATCTGCCTCCTAAATGCTGGGCTTAGTGGTGTGCACCACCCTATCACATATCTGTAAAGAACCCGAGTTTCTCTAAACTACGGAGACCTGACTGGAAAGAGGCCATTTCTTACCTAGAACATTTGTTCGGGGTCACATGAAAAACTCCAGCCGTTGTTCAAAGGTGTGGGAGCTCTAAGGCCAGAGGGAGACAAGAAAATCTAGCTCACTATGACTACTCTTGAAGTCAATGGTTAGCAGCCCCTGAGGATGAGCGGGACTTCTGGGAAGTTAGCTAAGGGCACCTCCCTCCACCCCAACAAGTGCTCATGCCTACCAGGGAGATAAGGCAGCACCAGCGAATGACTTGTTCATCTGGAGGCTCCTGAACAAGGAAAGAGTCAGTCTGTTGTTTAACTTTCTAGCCAACGTGGTTGACCTTCCAGAGTGTAACCTCAGTTAACCGGAAGTACGTTGTGTGTCATTACTGAAGTTCACAACAGAGTTCACATGTCTCAACCCCTTGGCCACTTAGCAGCATTTCATGGCAGGGATGAAGTCATGAGGGAAGCTGTGAACATTCATTTCCCTGTGGCTGCTGTAACTGGGGCGTTTGACTGTCCTGCTGGGTCCCTGCTCCCAAGACTCTGAATGCCAAGCCTGTGCATCCCATATCTGAGTGACGAATAAGTGGGGTGGAGTTTTGAAATTGGGGAAATCAAGAAGTGATTATCAACAGGTCTTAAATCTTAATTTGGCTGTAATACTTATAATGTTCTGCTTAGAATGATTACATTAAGATATGTACATGTAGTTTTCCTTTTATGGAATCGACTTAGGTTCAATAAAAACAAATATAAGTTCTGGTATAAGTACTGGGTTGATTAAGTTCCCCAATCAGAATGCCCTTTATAAAGCACCCACAATTCTCTGTCTTCATTACAGAGATTATGTTCACTGGAAGGAGACTGGTATCGGCTTACAGATGTCTAATCCTTGAGAGAGGAAATAGTTTTCTCATTATTTTCTCTAATTATTTTTTTAAATTGGCAATAACCATAGTAACTCACTGCATATTTCACCTTATTGGTTTAGTTGCCACTTGAACTAAATTTACCCACAATTTGGCCTGCAATGAAATTGAAGATATTTCACCAAAAGCTACCTACCTATGAGTAGAAGCAAGATTGGGGGAGGGGGTGGTAGTGAGCATTGCCTGCACTCCTGAGCTGCTTTGTTAGACCTAACATGTGCTTTTCTGGAAAGTCCACATGAAGTGCGGCGCAGGTGCCACTTCTGAGAGCTCCCACAAGTCCCCATCTGTTGATTCTGTGCAGGGCCATGTTCTCTAATGTCCCTCAACCATCTGGTTCTGGTTCCTCCAATCCTTTCTCCCCCTCCTCCACAGGACTCCTCAAGCTCTGCCTAATGTTTGATTGTGGAACTCTGCATCTGCTCCCATCAGTTGCTGAATGAAGTCTCTGTGGTCTCTTTGATGAGAATTCTGCTAGGCTCTGGTCCTACTACACTCTGCAGCTGGCACAAACTATAGGTTGAAGGTTTTATGGCCGTCTTCCTAGGAATTTTAGGATTGTTTATCTGGTTCTGTGAAGAATGTTGGAATTTTGATGGGAAGTGTGTTGAATCTGTAGACCACTTTTAGTAATTTCATCTACACAC